GGTACCATTTCAAAGCTATGCAATACTCTTTTCACATGCCACCCTCCAGAGGTGTCGCATATTTTTTGACTTGAGACTTGCTTGACTAACATTGATAAAAGACTTGACTTGACTTTGACTTGGTATTCATGACTTGAGACTTGACTTAAGCTTGAGACGGATGACTTGAAAGGACTTGTCTGTTTAAAATTAAATATTTGCGTTTGTTTTTGTAGTGAGATATTACGTTTAGTTTTTTCGAAAAACGTGATTGGGTGATTATAGCGCCGTGCGCGCAAACCTGGCAACCCACTAGACGGTAGGAGTGTCAGTTAACATGGCAGCGGCTAGCGTTACTCCACAAATAGTGAAGTTTGAATTCAAGGATTATGTTGTCGATGACGCTAATAAGAAGAGAACAGCGGTATGCAGGGTCTGCAGCATAAAGATCACGACCACCACAACATCCAACTTCATTCGTCACTACAAAAAAACCCACAGAGAAAGGTGCGTGAATGTGTTGTGTTAGCTAGAAAGCTAACGCTAAGTTTAAGCTACGCTAGACTTGGTTTCAAATCGATTAAGCAAAGAGAAGACAAAACGGTAAATGAACACTAGAACCACCAAGGGATTCATTTTGACTAACCCTGATACCTACGGGCTGTACGATAGAGCACGAGAGAGAGAGAGAGAGAGAGAGAGGAGAGAGAGAGAGAGAGAGAGAGATAGAGAGAGAGCAGAGAGAGAAGAGATGATAGAGAGAGCATGATAGAGTATCGAATCTAGCGCGATCGATAGAGCGAGCGCCGTTCTAGCCGCTCGAGAGCTCTATCTATAGCTCGCTCTGCTCGCGACGATCTCTCATCTCGATTCTTCTGTTTCTCTCCATTGGTGTTCTGAAACTGTGAATATGTAGTTCATCTACTTTTATTAGTTTGTTGTAAAATGTTTTATCTGCATGGTTGTTGTTGTTTGTAGAAGGTGCCAATCATTCTTGATTTAGTGTCAATTAATCTGAACTATCTTTGATCTGTTCTGATGATAAACTGAAGCCTTTCTATAACCCAATTCTGAGTTTTAAATCTCCTAACTTAGTTTATAAGGAAAGTATGAAGAGAACAAATTAAATGATTTGGAAAATGATATCTCTGTAGGTGCTGACGCTGCTTTGTTGGTTCTAGTGTTTACAGACATTTAAATTAAATATGTGTAATGGCAAATTCCATTTATGATTTTCTTACCTGGAATTCTGCCTTTTTGAACAGACTTTTTGAGTCCTAGCTATTTTGAGTCCTAGCTATATTGAGTCCTAGCTATACTGAGTCCTAGCTATTTTGAGTCCTAGCTATACTGAGTCCTAGCTATATTGAGTCCTAGCTATATTGAGTCCTAGCTATACTGAGTCCTAGCTATATTGAGTCCTAGCTATATTGAGTCCTAGCTATACTGAGTCCTAGCTATACTGAGTCCTAGCTATATTGAGTCCTAGCTATACTGAGTCCTAGCTATATTGAGTCCTAGCTATATTGAGTCCTAGCTTATACTGAGTCCTAGCTATATTGAGTCCTAGCTATATTGAGTCCTAGCTATACTGAGTCCTAGCTATATTGAGTCCTAGCTATACTGAGTCCTAGCTATACTGAGTCCTAGCTATATTGAGTCCTAGCTATACTGAGTCCTAGCTATATTGAGTCCTAGCTATATTGAGTCCTAGCTATATTGAGTCCTAGCTATACTGAGTCCTAGCTATACTGAGTCCTAGCTATACTGAGTCCTAGCTATATTGAGTCCTAGCTATATTGAGTCCTAGCTATATTGAGTCCTAGCTATATTGAGTCCTAGCTATATTGAGTCCTAGCTATATTGAGTCCTAGCTATATTGAGTCCTAGCTATATTGAGTCCTAGCTATATTGAGTCCTAGCTATATTGTCTGCAGTTCTAGGGTTAATATGAATCTAATATGATTGTCATCGGTCTAAATTAGATTTCAAATGATTAACTGTGTATGTAATGAAGATCATAGTGTGGGTTAAATCCATTTTCATAACCACTGTCTTTTAACTGATTTAAATGCGGAAACTGGGCTTATTCATCAGAATTTCGTATGACTTGACTTGACCTGAGCAATGACTTGACTTGACTTGCTTGACTCTCACCACAGTGACTTGGGACTTGCTTGATACTTGTAGGTCAAGACTTGAGACTTGCTCATGACTTGCACATGTAGGACTTACTCCCACCTCTGCCACCCTCTGCCCTCTGATAACTTTCGCACTAATTGGTCAGAGGACCTCAATTGCGAGATAGGGACTGAGGTTTGGCAGTCTATTTTGAAACGTGTCCACACATCATCCATTTGTGCACGCCGCGGGGTTTTACAATGTAAAGTGGTCCACAGAGTGCACTGGTCCAAAAGTAAACAAGCTCGCATCTATCCTGGCACTGATCCTAACCAGGGGCGCGGGAAGGGGGGTGCTGAGGGCGCTGCAGCACCCCCTAGCGGTAGGCAGACGGTGCGGAGCTCCCCTGTTTGAATTATTATTTGACGGTTATTGCTGCTCCCGCTGTGCATAATCTGTGTAATATGTAGCCAATACATTCCACATTGTTGGTCAAATAATATTTTACATCTTTTACATCTTTGTAGTGTGTGCTCACCTGGCCTGCCCCGAATGTTTTTTCTGTAGCCCTCAATAATATAATACATTAACCGTGCTTTACGTGAACCTCATCATGACACTAGAGAGGACGGCAGGACTGTAATTTCCCGTGTTCAGTGAATGCAACAGAGGCATGACACCAGACCAATCAGAGAGTTGCTTGGAAATAAACGTGTGCTTGTGTCATTCAAGCTCGGCTCTGAGAGAGGGAGAGAGAGAGAGAGACCGTGTTGTTAGCATCCGGTTAGCTAGCTGCGCTAACGGACATAAGGAGCTGTTTGTTCCACAAGAAGCTGGAGGAGAGTCCTCTCCTCTCAGACTGAGAGACTCAGGTGAGCTAAAGGACTCTCTGAGTGTGATAGTTAACTTTAGTCTAAGTTATCTCAGTGGGTCTCAAACGGTTTGGTCACAAATTATTCAAAAGATTATTTCCGCGGCACACCTTCATATGATCATTATAGTTATAAAAAAAATAAGAGAATAAATTAAAAACAGTTATGAAATGCTATATGGCAGTAAAACAAGAATAGAGTTTAAAAGGGGAGTGATTTGTAAAATATCCATAAAGAAAAAGAACATCTGTTTACAGTTCTGTTTCATATGGGTGTTGAGAGAGGTATCCATAGATCTCTTCATGTTGCTCTCAAAGTGCACCAGATTGATGCTTTTAACTTCAATATTTAAAAAAAATCTTCCCCGGGGACCATCCCCCCGGACCCCCCTAGAGGAGGTGAGGTCCGCTCCCCACTCGTATAAAATAGCACTTTACCCCTGCCTATATGGCGTGAGCTGATTATCGAGCCTTCATTGTAACAGTCGCGGGTGTACTGTGTGTGTGAGTGTGTGGTGTGTTGCAGACGCCCCTGGTGCTCGCGCTTTTGTGCGTGCTCTATAGTGCCCGTAATAGTGTTCACTGGAGTCCAGCACCTCAGCACCCCCACTCAAAATACCTTCCCGTGCCTCTGATCCTAACTGTAATAAACGTCACCTAGGACCAGCTAATCTCGCCCACATGTTTTGGACTTGCCCCATCCCATCTCGGTTTTGGAAGTCTGTCTTTGACTCACTCTCAGCTATCACGTCTGCTACCATCCATCCCTCACCCTTAATTGGCCTGTTTGGTGTCTTGCCCGTTGATCATTTACTGCCATCCTATTTCGCTGAACTTGTAGCTTTTCTCACATTGCTGGCTAGGCGCATTTATTTTTGATGCATTGGAAGTGTCCTCGTCCCCCCTCTCATACACATTGGATAAAGGAAGCTCTATACTTTGTGAAATTGGAAAACAATTAAACACTGTATTAGGGGCTCAGACTTAAAGTTCACAAACATTTGGCTACCCTTCTTAGAACATGTTAGGTCCCTCCAGTTGGAGTCTGTCCCCATTGGCTGAGTCGCCCCCCTGTACCGCAACAGCTCACAGGAATGCTCACAAAATGTCTCGCAGGTTTTTTTTTTTTGTATTTTTATTTTTTTTATTTTTTTTATTTCATTATTACATTATTGTCTCATTGTAACTGATGTATTGTTTCTTGGGGTTGTTTTGTTAGCAATCGCAGGGTTAATGTAATGTATTGCTGCTGTCTTTGTGTATTGAAAATCTAAAAAATAAATCATTAAAAAAAACAGCAGCGTTTTTATCGTTTTAATGCCATTGAACACAACTTTTGTTCAGTAACACAGCAACGGTAAGACTCATGTGATGTCTGGGTTTGCTTCCCCTGCCGCGGGTTTTGATCGCTCAGTGATGATACTTATACCCCTATAATCTGTGGAATCTCAGCTTGCTAGCTAATATCTTGTTGGTGCAGATCCGATAAGTAATAAAGTATTTCTACCATGAGTTCTGTGCTAAGTGCGTCAGCATTTTTTCGCTCAGGGCTCATTTAGACGCTTCTTGTGAGACTTGTGTTTTGTTTCGGTAAAAATTGTTCGTATCGTCAGTTAGCTGAGTTTCTTCCCGTTAAGTGGGTATGAAACATTAATAGGTTGTTAAATGTTAAGAAGCCCTGAGACACAGTTTTGTGAAAAAAAGAAAGCGGGGGCAGGGGCTGCCGGGCTTAACAGGTTAAGGTGATTTACTGCAATATTTTCAATTGTCTAATCTCAATTTCGATTTTCTTCTGCATGTTTGTGAATTGTTCTGCCTTAATTGCTATGTAGATATTCAACATCATTGATCCTAAATTTAGTATAATTAATACCTCTATTTTTTTGTTTATGGTTTGATGACAAAAAACTAAACAACCAAAACCACAAAGAACCTTTTAAAAGTCACGATTATTCTGCTTTGATAAAACTGAACAGGAGGAATGACTGCAAACATGTGCTGGTACTTTAGATATCAGCTGATTACAGACCTGAGAGTCTCCAGTTCACAATGTGGACTCTCCAGTCCAGCAGACAGCCGCTTCACTCCTGAATCCTGCAGGTCGTTGTTACTCAGGTCCAGCTCTCTCAGACTAGAGGACTGGGAGCTGAGGACTGAGGACAGAGCTTCACAGCTTCTCTCTGACAGCTTACAGCCACTCAGCCTGGGGAAGGATTAGCAATGAACACAATTTATTTTATTTATCATTTTTAAAACTGATCAATGTTGTTTGTATCTCCACTTACAGAGCTTTCCTGGAGGCTTTGACCACTGGCAGCAGCCTCAGAAGAGCCTTCTCTGAAGCAGAGTATTTCTTCAGGTCAAAGACGTCCAGATCTTTTCCTGATGACAGTAAGATGAAGACCAGAGCTGACCACTGAGCAGGAGACAGTCTATATGTGGAGAGACTTCCTGAACTCAGGTACTGTTGGATCTGCTCCTCTAGAGAACCATCATTCAGTTCATTCAGACAGTGGAACAGGTTGATGCTTCTCTCCGGAGACGGGTTCTTTCTTATCTTCTTCTTGATGTACTCAACTGTTTTCTGGTTGATCTGTGAGCTACTTCCTGTTTCTGTCAGCAGGCCATGTAGGAGTTTCTGATTGGTCTGCAGTGAAAGACCCAGGAGGAAGCGCAGGAACAAGTCCAGGTGTCCGTTTGGACTCTGTAAGGCCTTGTGCACAGCACTCTGGTAGAGATGTTTAGGTTCTCGTCTGAAGACTTTAGACCACCAGGGGGCCATCAAGTTGACTCCAGAGTTGATGAAGGTCAGATGGACATGAAGAGCAGCCAGAAACTCCTGAACGCTCAGATGGACGAAGCAGAACACCGTGTCCTTGTACAGTTCACTCTCCTCTCTAAAGACCTCTGTGAACACTCCTGAGTACACTGAGGCTTCTGTGATATTGATGTCACAGTCTGTCAGGTCGTGATCATAGAAGATCAGGTTGCCTTTCTGCAGCTGCTCAAAAGCCAGTTTTCCCAGAGCCTCCATCATCTTCCTGGTCTCTGGACTCCAGTGGTGATCTCTCTCACTTTTTCCATGATACTTGACGTTCTTCATTTTGGACTGAATCACCAGGAAGTGGATGAACATCTCAGTCAGGGTCTTGGGCAGCTCTCCTCCCTCTCTGGTTTTCAACACTTTCTCCAGAACTGTAGCAGAGATCCTGCAGAAGACTGGGATGTGGCACATGATGTGGAGGCTTCGTGAGGTCTTGATGTGGGAGATGATGGTGCTGGCCAGCTCCTGATCTATGAATCTCTTCCTGAAGTAATCCTCCTTCTGTGGGTCAGTGAACCCTCGGACCTCTGTCACCATGTACACACACTCAGGAGGGATCTGATTGGCTGCTGCAGGTCGTGTGGTTATCCAGAGGCGAGCAGAGGGAAGCAGCTTCCCCCCGATGAGGTTTGTCAGCAGCACATCCACTGAGGTGGACTCTGTGACATCAGTCAGGATGTCAGTGTTGTGGAAGTCCAGAGGAAGTCGACACTCATCCAGACCGTCAAAGATGAACACAACCGGGAACTGATCAAACCTGCAGATTCCTGCGTCTCTGGTTTCAGTGAAGAAGTGATGAACAAGTTCCACCAAGCTGTACTTGTTCTCTTTCAGCCTATTCAGCTCTCTGAAAGGTAATGGAAATATGAACTGGATGTCCTGGTTGGCTTTGCCTTCAGCCCAGTCCAGAGTGAACTTCTGTGTTAAGACTGTTTTCCCGATGCCAGCCACTCCCTTTGTCAACACTCTGATTGGTGCATCTCTTCCAGGTGAGGCTTTAAAGAGGTCTTCTTGTCTGATGATTGTTTCTGGTCTGTCTGGTTTCCTGGATGCTGTTTCAATCTGTGTGACCTCATGTTCTTCAGCTGCAGTTTCTCCCTTGGTGATGTAGATCTCCGTGTAGATTTCATTTAGAGGTCTTGAATTACCCGTTTCTAGGATTATCTCAATTTTTTTCTTCAGGTTTAATTTGAGCGTCCTTTGGCACTGAGTGAGAATCTCTGAATGAAGAAAACATTGAATCACAATTGAGACAATACTACAATTAACATAAAAGATCACAATATTTGTTCCTAACTTTACACATTTCTGAAAGGATAGTAGGATATTTTGGTTTGATCGAAGCTGTATCTCAATCATCTGTAGCTATCCAAAAATATTGTTCCTTCTTTCTATTATTTCCCACTCTGGTGAACAATCTGTTCCCCAGAGAACCATGACCTTAAACCTGACCGACTCTTATTCCTGCTGCTGGAAGACGAGGCACGACCCTGGCAGATCGACCTCTGAGGATGTGGACTCAGCTCTCACTCCAGTTATACAGGAAGTGGATTGCTCTTAGTAATTGTCCCAATACTGCATAATCCTGCAATAGCCTTGAATGGAAAACTTTTTTTTTTTGGTCCAATCTGGACATGCCTGTTTTTTTTTTTTTCTAAAATTATTTTACATACCCCTTTTCAGGCCCATCAGTACATCAATTGTAGGGTCCCCTTTCAAGCCCTTAATCCACTATTTTCTGACAGAATTTATTTCAATTTTTTTCCTTGTTAACTGAACACACCATTTCACCATCGACATTTTTAAATTGTATTTAAAGAAAAAGCCCTAACAAAACAGCAAGGCTCTCAGTATTAACTAAAGAAAAAAAGACAGCAACAGCAGACATCAAATCCTTGCTGAGCCTCAAGATAATCATAAATAAATAACATAGTGAAAATACATATATTGCAATGCTCAAAACAGCAGCATCCAACCGTCTCTAATCATATGTGGAGCAGGACCAACTCTGGGGGATGGGGAGCCAGTGGAGCTTGATGAGGACAGGGGTGATGTGTTCACGGATTTGGGTGTGGGTGAGTAGACGGGTGGCGGAGTTCTGGATGTATTGGAGTTTGTTGAGGATTTTTGCAGGTGAACCATAGAGGAGGCTGTTGCAATAGTCCAGACGGGAGGTGATGAAGGCGTGGATGAGGGTTTCTGCAGCAGTGGGGGAGAGGGATGGACGTAGACATCCATGTTCCTCTCCTTCACCTACAACCCAACTGGCATTGATTGGACCCTTAGACTCAGTGGTGTGTAGACCCTGATGCCTGGCTGCAGGATGAGGACCTGAGGCCTGTACTACGAAGCCGGATTTTGGCTTAGTGAGCTAACTTCAGGGAAAACTCTGGGTTTGTAAAACTATTTTTTAACTAATGACTTACCTGTCGCCTTTTTCAGTGTCGCCATGTTTTCTCCCTGCAGAGATCCAAAAGATACAGAGAGAAAATATTACATAATCTTACATCTGAAATAACATGGGTTTATGCAAAAAATACTTTGTTTTTCAGCAACAATACTGCTTATTTTAAGGCAATTATTACTCCAGATCCAGGTCCAGGTTCAGGTCCAGGTCCAGGTCCAGGTCCAGGTCCAGGTCCAGCAGAATGTGGTGTGTCCTCTGGGCTGGAACACAACACAGAGCTTTGAGTGAATAATGAGTGCTGAGCTGTGACATGGAGAAGAGTCATGGACAGTTGGAGATCTCACCTCTGAGCTTTGGTCTGGCTGTCATGTTCCCCACACAGAGAGGGGGGGTCTCCCTCCTCTCTGTCCTCACACTGATCCATAGCAGAGCCTCCACCTTCACACAAACACAACAACATGCTCATCACAACAAGAACATCACAGGACACATTAGTGCCCCTCCTCTCAGATGTCCACAGCCCCAGGCCCACACAGAAACTCAGTTTGTTGACCCCTAAATATGTTTTTGTGATTATCAAGACTTCTTACAGCACACCCAGAAGTCACCAAATGTCTGGTTAACTTTGTTCATTGAGACAAAATTAAACACATACGCAACAAAACTACTTGGTTATGTTTAGAAAAAAGATCATGGATTCGCTTAAAATGTGTAAGTTTGTTACTCTGTGCAATTCAAACTATTGACCCTGACCACTGAGCTTTCAGGGCCATGGGGGAACCTAAACCCTGACACCATGTACAGGTGGTGTTTATCTGTGTGGTATATCAGGAGGACACATCCAATCCATGTTATCATTGTGATTTACCTGACCTCAGGTTCCCTGTTTGTAACACTCCTTAATAACTAATGACCAACCTGTCGGTTCTGATGGGATTTTTGATAATTTATCCTCCAGAAGATTCTGTTTCATCTCCTTCAAAACGTTTCTGGTCACTTTAATAGTGTCAATGCCGTAGTTCTGAAACATGATGTCCACAGTTTTCGTCCGACATGCATCCTCTAGTCGACTCTTTGGGATTCCTTCAAATCCTAGGACCTCCTGCTGCAGCCGCCACTTGAATTCTTCAAAGTCCTCTTTCCCCAATTGTTCTAAAGTACTGAAGATGATCTTTTTCAGTGTCGCCATCTTTTCTCCCTGCAGAGATCCAAAAGATAACATGGGTTCATGAAAAAAAATACTTTCTTTGTTTTTCAGCAACAATACTGCTTATTTAAGGCAAATAAACTACCACTCCAGGTCCAGCTCCAGGTCCAGGTCCAGGTCCAGGTCCAGCAGAGTGTGGTGTGTCCTCTGGTCTGGAACACAACACACAGAGCTTTGAGTGAATAATGAGTGCTGAGCTGTGACATGGAGAAGAGTCATGGACAGTTGGAGATCTCACCTCTGAGCTTTAGTCTGGCTGTCATGTAAACCTCTCTAATATAAGTGTAGACATTTCAGTGTGTGAACCAGCACATCAGAAGTCTAGGTCGCTCAGGAGAAAATGGATACTGTGCAACAAAAGTGAAAAGACACAAAGCAGACGTTGTTTGGAAAAGGTAAAGAAAGATGTAATATGTATTCTCCGTTCCCTCTTTCTTTCAGATAAACCTATTTATTTTATAACTATTTTGATGTAATTTAGTGTTCTTACTTCTGTTTTAATTATCCCTATTTAATATAAACTAATGGTTTTATTTAAAGTGGACCTATCATGCTATATTTAAATGATATATTGTAGGGCCATACCTATATAAGGTATATTTATATGTTTCTGTTTTCAAAATACCAAACAGATCATGCATTTTAGCCATGCCTCATTTCGCTCTATGTGCTGTTTGCTGTCTACGGGTCTGATTCTGCTGACCACGCCCCCCTGCAGGAGAGGGGAGCCGTGCTCTGATCAGCTGCTGGGCTGTCAGAAGAGGGGGAGAAAAAGAGATCTCCGTCCTCCGTGTTTTATTATGTAGAGTCGTTATTCATTTGTTTTAAAGCTCAATAAATAACAAAGAAGACCTTTGACCGGCACTTTTCAAATTTTGTCCGGAAGATTTAAACTTTAACGGACATCTTGACCGGCGAAAGAAACTGAAACTGAAACTCTGCCGCACGGTCCCCTCGTTCCTTGGAAGAGGCGGAGAGGTGGGTGTTTGTCATCTGCTGGTGGACTAACCGGAGAGAATTACAGTGCTTGCCTCGACGGGGAGGGATTGCATTGAATTAAAGCAGCGGGAGCAAACGCTTGCCTCGGGGAGGGAGAAAGAAAGCCACAGCGGAGAATAAACAGAAGGGTAACCATGGTAACCAAGTCTTCTTCGCTGCTTTTGTGGCAGACTACAGCGCCACTTACAGGCCTGGCATATGTACTACAGCATCTCCAGCGCTTTCGAACGGCAATGGCCGTGGCTGTCTCCTCCTGATTGGTGGAGTTGGCCCAATAGCCGTAGCGCCACTGTCCTGACGTCAGGACAGTGTTCAAATTTGGATCAGTTTTTATCAGATCCGTTGCAGCCCCTTTTTTAGAGATTTGGGTATGGAGGAAAATAGACAGGGTTGTGTTTTCTGACACTTGGTGAGTTCCCTGGAACACCGGGGACACATATTCATGTATAAAAGACGTACAAAAGTGCATTTTGCATGATAGGTCCCCTTTAATTTTAGTAGCTAAGCTATATATTCTAATTTTGGGAACCAGGACTCTGTATTTGAAATGTTATTTCAGACTCTTAAATAAAATGAAAGAAAATGTATCACATTACTTCTATACACATATAGTTATAACATATTCAACATAGAATCAAAACAATCAATAATCAGTTATTGGCTCTCAACATGTGAAGAGAAAAGATGCACAAGTTCTTGTCCTACCACCGTTATGGGTAACTGTAATAGTTCTCTTCCTTTAGATAGGTCGATGGGTAGCTCGCCAGACTGAAATTCTCCACAGTACACCAGCAGAGATGAGGGCAGCGTTCCAGTCAAAGAATCCTGAAATCTCCTTCACATCAAACAAAAAGACCCGACCTGACAACAAGGCCAAGAGTCAAATGGATGCTTATACAATGGTCTGAATGCTAATTGTGACAGCACTTCTCTGTATCTTAATCAAATCAACAAAATACACTGAACATGTTCCTAAAATCCTTTTAAACAAACAATTCTAAATACAAAAATTATCAGTCAGCTTATTTAACACATCTGTCACACATGTTATTATTTTAACAAAGTGTACTCAACTAATTTTAGACCAACCTATAACCAGCCACAGTTAGCTCCACTTTGCTCATCTTCCACAACAAACTACAGACTAAGCTGTGGTCAATGACCCTTCAATGTGCCACAACTGTTGTGCACCGACAGAAATGCTAGAGAGATGCATGTTATTTACGTTTGCTTTCTCTCATTCCAGGCTTCCTGATTATTTTCACCTGTGTCTCCTGTGCTCATCAATGTCAGCCCCGCCCCTGATTGGTCCCACCTGTGTCTAGTTACCCTGTGCTTATATTCCCCTGTCTCCCAAGTGTTCTTTGTCAGTTCGTATTGTCTCTTGCTATGGTCAGGTCTATGCTCTTTGTACTCTTGTAAAGTTTGATTCCTCACTACGTGAGCGCTTTCATTTTGTTCCTCTATTTTTGTCATCTCGGTTAGAGATTTGATAGTTACCTTTTTTTGTTGTTCATTGCTGTATTTTGGAAAATAAAGTATCTTACTAATACTTTACCTCTGTCTCCCGTGTCGTGCAATTGGGTCCTACATCCTAAGTGTCTGAGTTCGTAACAGAACGAACTGACCATTATGGACCCAGCCGACCCAAGAACGCTTCACGCAGCGCTGTCAGCACAGGGCGTGAAGATCTTTCATCACGAGGAACAGCTGGGCCTAGTCAACCAGGAAATGCAAGAACTAAGAGGACGCCAGGCCGGGATTCAGGAAGCATTATCCACACAGATGCAACAACTGGCTGTCCAAATGAATCATTTTTTCACTCACCAACAGACTGCTCCTCCGGTGACGTCATCCACAACTGAGAGGTTGCCTGTCAATGCTCCAGCTGATTTCCCAAGTCAGGCTGTTTCTTCCCCTTTACGGCTGGCTCTTCCGGAGAGATTTTCCGGAGATTCTTCTAATTGCAGAGCCTTTTTGGTACAGTGCGATCTGCATTTTCAACACAACCCAGGAGCCTTTTCATCGGACCATGGTAAAGTGGCGTTTATTGTGTCTCATTTAACGGGAAGAGCTGCAGCCTGGGCTACTGCAGAATGGTCAAGAGAAACTGAACTATGTTACTCATTGACCGATTTCATAGAGACTATGAGTCGTATTTTTGACCACTCATCGCCTGCTACAGAGGCCAGCAGAAAACTTTTTCATATACGCCAGCTCAACCGCCAGGTGGTTGATTACGCCATCGAGTTTCGCACAGCAGCAGCGGACAGCGGATGGAATGTTCCGGCTCTTCGTGACGCCTTCATGACGGGACTTTCGGAACCGATAAAAGACCAGCTGGCTCCACTGGAGACACCCCGGGATCTGGAATCTCTCATCGCCGTGGCCATCCGGATCGATAACCGTCTTCGGGAAAGAGAGAGGGAGCGTCGACGCAACCGAGACGTTATTCCCAGCTCCCAGAATGCATCTTGGTGGGTCGCGCCGCCAGCCGAGGATGTCCAGCCCATGTTACCACACCGTCAGAGGATTACACTTCCCAATGACTCCGGGGAACCCATGCAGCTGGGAAGAACCAGGCTTTCTCTGGAGGAGAGGCAGCGCCGTCTACGGGAGGGTTGTTGTTTCTACTGCGGCCAGTCGGATCATCAACTCGCTTCATGCCCGGGAAAAGATCGTGCTCACCAGTCAAAAGGAGGGCGCTGGTGAGCAAGTTTCCCGCAGACTTTCCTCCTCGACCTGTTACGCAGGTAAACATTTGTATTAACAATCAAACCATTGACCAGGGTGTGTTAATAGACTCAGGGGCTGACGAAAGTCTTATGGACTGGGGCGTAGTAAATCAGCTAGAAATAAAGACTGTTCCGCTATCTCATCCTATTAATGCCAGTGCCTTAGACGGCCGCTTGTTGTTCACAGTCACCCATTGCACTGAGCCCATTCAGATTACTGTGAATAAGGACCATACCGAGAGCATGCAATTCCATATTTTTGAGTCGGCTCAGCACCCGATTATTTTGGGGTTTCCATGGCTAAAGATCCACAATCCTCACATTGACTGGCGTTCAGGGAAAATTAAGGAATGGGGAGAGGATTGTATGGGCAGGTGTAAACTTTCACAACCTGTTAATGCACCAACAGACTCTCGTAAAATCATTATAGATCACCCCGACTATCCTGATCTACAGAAGGTACCTTCCTGTTACCATGATTTAAAGGAAGCCTTTAACAAATCCAAAGCCATGTCGCTACCTCCTCACCGAGATTTTGACTGTCCCATTGATCTCTTACCGGGAGCCCCCATTCCCAAGGGGAAACTTTATTCGATTTCGAGACCTGAGAGAGCAGCAATGGACGAATACATTTCCTCTTCACTCAAATCAGGAATTATCCGTCCTTCATCTTCTCCAGCCGGAGCGGGATTTTTCTTTGTGGGAAAGAAAGACGGGTCTCTGAGACCTTGCATAGACTACAGTCCACTAAATGACATTACGGTGAAGAACCGCTATCCTCTGCCACTCATGACATCTGCCTTTGAACTACTTCAAACTGCCAAAATATTCACCAAGTTAGATTTAAGAAATGCATATCACTTGGTTAGAATAAGAAAAGGGGATGAGTGGAAGACAGGATTCAACACTCAGAGTGGTCACTATGAGTATCTAGTAATGCCCTTTGGACTATGCAATGCACCGGCTGTGTTTCAAGCTCTTGTGAATGAGGTTTTACGGGAATTTTTGAATATTTCAGTGTTTGTGTATCTGGATGATATTCTGATTTTCTCCCCAGACACTAAGTCTCATGTTAACCATGTCCGTCAGGTTTTGCAGAAACTGCTAGAGAATCAGTTATATGTCAAGGCAGAGAAGTGTGAGTTCCACACAAAAGAGGTATCCTTCTTAGGATACATAATCTCACCTAATCATATGCAAATGGATCCGGCTAAAATCAGTGCAGTATCCCAGTGGCCTACACCAGACTCCAGGAAGAAGGTCCAACAGTTTCTAGGGTTTGCTAACTTCTATAGGAAGTTTATTAGGAATTTCAGTTCTGTTGCTGCCCCTCTACATGTTCTGACTTCTCCTAAGGTTCCTTTCAAGTGGACTCCCCAGGCGGACTTCGCTTTCCAACGTCTCAGAGAGAGATTCACATCAGCCCCCATACTCACCATTCCAGATCCCCAGCGCCAGTTTATGGTCGAGGTTGATGCTTCCAAT